TTGTTGTTGTTGTTGTTTGTAAATAAGTTTAATTTGCATAACGATGTTCCTCCCTCCAAGCCGAGCTGCAAATCGGAACGGGGCTTCAAATTGCTTTACAAATTGACTGCTCATTGTTGAAAAACGAAGAAACCGGAAGCCATTTTAAGCAGGGCCCGGAGTGGCAAACGCCCCCCTGTGCGCCACCGCCGTGTTGCTGCGCGCACGCTTCGCAGGGGGCGGCGGATTGCCAGCAGACTCGAGGCGGCCTGCCTTGGCTTTGCCTTTGCAAGAGATGGGACCACTCTTATTTCAAGGGAGCCAGCCAGGGAAGGGGAAGGGTAGGGCTGGGGAGACCCTCACTTTCAGATACGGCAAGGAAACTGCCCGCGAGTGGGGAAACATGCGAGGGCCCCGAGATTACGCTGGTGGAGGTTCCGAATGGAGGGCTGGAAGAAGGTCCAGAAAACACCAACATCTCGCACACAGAAAGGCGCTCTGCTTTAAAATGGCCAGTCACCCCTGGCTTGGATGTAGTCGCGGTAAGGCAAGTGGCGCAAAGCAGATTCTTTTTTGCCTACTTCGCCAAAAGAGGAAACCACCTTCCCTCTCTTCCGCAATTTGTACACAATGCCCTCTCCATAAATATCTGACGATAACGCCGGGCTCAGGGTTTGTTGGGAACTCGCGTTTCTAGCCCTCATTGTTCAAAAACAAACCCCACAAAGCGCTTAGATCGCGTGTGGCCCTTAAAGCCTTTAGTTCTGTAGCCGATACGCGCCCTTTCAGGGCAGAAGAGGCCGAAACCGAGTACACACGTTAGCTCGCCTATGATGTCAGGAGTTTCTCTTTTGGGGGGAACTAGTCCCTGATAAAGCGCTCCCTCCCCCCGACGGTCCTCAACTGCGCATCCTTCCCACCCTGTTCTAAAGATGCCGCTTTGTACGGATGACCCTGAACGGTTCCCGTACTGAACATAATTCCGCTTCTGTTTCTGCAAATATTGTCACAGCTCAGGTTTAAGCAAACCTGTTTCTGTTGTCGAAGAAACAGGGCATGTTTCGAACTACACAGAACCCTTCTTCACCATAACGCAGTCAGATAGGAAGGCGCATCTGACGAATTTCTAAACAGCGAGGTTTCTTTCCATTCCGACCTATGAAAGACTGGAACGTAGGCAGTCCCTCTTCTCGAAACTGGACCAGCTTAATTCCTAATTTGCAAACATCCCAGGGAAACATGTAACGCCTGCGACCCTCACTCAAGATCCTCAAACCGATCCATCCATTGCGCCCCACCCTAACTTCCCCGCAGCTCGACCCAGCTCCGGATGGTCCCGCTCCAAACTTCAGGGACAACTCAGGGCCAGCGCTGCTGTGCAAATAATGTGGGTCCGAGGGTCTTCCTCTGCGCGCTTCCCCCGATTTGTCACCTCCACAACCCGGAAGGGAGGTTTACTCTCTCCATAAAGGTCTGCGTAAGCTTGCTGACAAAAGTATATACCGCCAGCGCTCTGGAAGGAACCGAGAGTCCTGAAGGACTTTTGAGATCCCGAATACATTGCTGTGAGGATGATGTCAAAGCGCTGGTACCCGCCTCGGGTGCATTCTCAAGACAACTTAACACGGATCCCCAGCTGTCTCGTCAAACGCTCTGTCCTTCTTACAGTCGGGATGGTTAGTGTAACAAATGGCCTCCCCACTCCCTTTACAGGAGGAAAACTTCTCTTTTTTTGGTAGCGTGACCTGGGCATGAGCTCAGGATCAGGTAAGTGTTGGTGCCCATTCAGGATCGGTTGATAAGAGGTACAAAAGTGTGATCCTATGCCCTTAGGGGAGGGGGTCATCCAAAGTAGGTGGGGGGTGTCCATTGCACCCTTTTGAGTGGGTAGGATCTGGATACAGAGACCCATCGATCCTATCATATCCATTGCTATTTCTGGGTCAGTGAGCTGTGAATGGAAGAGGCTTGAGGTTTGGAAAGAAAACCTTCCCTCTTGTCAGGCTGAGGAATCAAAGGGAATCCAAAAGCAAGCTAGGCTTGTATTGGTGACATTAATCTGGCTTTTCCAGCAGCATCCCTACCCAGGTGACACAGGATAGAAGGTAATGATTTGTTTCCTGATGCACCCCTGGCTAAAATGCTTAGAAATAAAAAATAATTGTGAATCCTCAGGCTGTGCCCCTGCTACCACCAAGTAGAACTTGGGCTTTAAAAAAGAGGCAGCTTTTAACTAGCTGTTTGTTTAGTCTAGTTTCCCATTCCAAACTGGACTCTACCTGACAACCTCATGGGCAGGAGGGTTCTTTCACCCTGGAGCTCCCAGTAATCTCCCACTTTGCCTAAGACCCCCACCCCACCCCATCTCCCCCCTCCCTCCAGCCAAATGCTTCTATTGGATCCAACAATCAGGCCTCGCGGAACAGAATCCGGGGTTAATTAGAGGCGCCCTGTCAGACTTGACTCGAAATGGGGGGGGGGGAATCTTTAAATATGTATGAATTTGACATTTACAGTTGGACGTCTTTAAAGCACAGCATCCCCTTCCTCTGTCACTGGCTCAGTTTGACGCTGGGATGTTGAAGTGTGTGTGTGTGTGTGTGTGTAGACAACTGCTGTTGCATAACATGGGTACAATCGCAAATATCTTCCTTTTCAAAGTTTAAGGCCTACCAAATGCACGGGATGGGGGGACGACAACGACGTTTCTTCTTCTTTACAACAAAAAATGCAAAACGGACTCTAAGGAATAATTAAAGTGAAGTGCATTAGAGTATCTACTGAATGTTTATTCGCAAGCACCTTAAATCTATGCTCTAAAGCAGGGTATTCTCTTGGACTGTAAAACAGGGACTCTTAATAATTCCTGGGTTTCAGCCCATCATGCCAATGCAGAATGATGACTACCATATATATTTATTAATCTTACCCTACATAGCAGCTCAAAGAACTGGTCTACCCAAATGCATTGCCAATCAAAAATGTTATTTCCCATTGCATTGTCTCTTCAAGGAAGTAAGAAAGGCATTTCTTTGCCTTTGCACCAGCTTTACTAACCCCCCTACCCAAAAGCCCTTTGCACAGTTGAGTTTCAGTAAGGAAACACCCACCCCTCCCCCAAAAAACGATGATGCTAATGTAATCAAACCATGTTTGATATCCTTTCATTGCATCTTCTTCAACAGTCACAGGTCTGACACACTTCCTCAAGAGGAGGAGGTGTGTGCATGACTGCGAGCCCAGCTAGATTGGAGGTTGCAGGTGCAGGTAACATTCCACACCAACAATGGCCTGTAAATGCTTAATATACATTAATATCATTCAGGCAAGTGAATGTACTGGAAACTGAAGGCAACGATGGACTGCTTGAAACTACCCTCAGTTATCTTCATAATATAGATGCTACCTTAGATACAGGTGCTTTACAGATTATCAGCCTTAAATAGCAATTCACATTTCCCCCTCCCTGTTTAAAATGGACATTGCCATCTTACAAAGTAAACTTTGTAAGAATGGAAATGCCATTCAGCTAAGAACCAGCAAGTGTAAGCCTTCGAACTTCAAAAGCTATTGCTCAGTTGAGATAAGGACACACTTGGCTGGCAGCTGATGCACACTGCCTTTCTACTTCTGAGAAGAAAAACGCATTTCAATATATATTTTTTTCTAAAATAACTTGGCAGTAGTATTTAGTGGCACATAATGCACCAGAGGGGTTTTCCCCCTCATTTTTTTTATAATTCTTTGTTGATGACACATTATAATAGATCTGAACACAAATAACAATGAAAACTAAATATCTCAGTATGCACAGATAAATAAAACTTTGGAAAATGATTTATCTTAAAATATGATGACTTTTTAAAAAACCCACCTAATGCTATTTTTAATTGAGAATACACTCCAGAACCTAATAAATGGGAGAAGTCAGGCAGAAATAATCATGTATTAATTCTCTACATTACAAAATCTTTTCAGAAGCTATTATCAGAGCAAGAGGCATTGTGGTTGAGATTCAGGGTGGGAGAAATCCTTTGTGCAACTGAAAGCTATTGTTCCTCTGTGCTGATGAAATTGTACTTGCAAATCTGCCATTCAAGGAGGCCAAAAAAGGAGGGGGGGTTGAGTCCCAAGAAGAAGAAAAGGAATGACAAGAAAATAATTATTCTTGACTATAAACATATATTAATATACATTTGGACTCAGGAGGATTAAAAAAAAGGAATATATAGTTTTGTAAATTGTGCAGCTATTATCTATAATATTACTGTTAATATCATCTAACCACATTTTCTAAGAAAACTCCTTTGGAATAACTGACCTTGTTTTCATGCAGTACATTTATTAGAGTCACATTATTGATTTAACTAAATAAACCTTATATTAACTGTGATCTTCTGGGGGATATTTTCTTCTCGGGATAAAAAAAATGCAGGAAATATATGTTTACTTAACCTTTTGATACTTTAAAGAATTATATGTACAAAAATCATCCTTACAGTAAATTGGCATTTTAAAATATTTTAATTGTTCTTGTTCTTTACAATGATACCCATTATCACAAAAGTGCTAAACACATCTCCCTGGAAGAAAATTAACTCATTTAGTTTAAATTGAATATGCACTCAAGTTATGTTTGCTAGAATTGCATCCATTTGACTGGACCGATACTCAAGTAAATGCATTTAGGGTACAGTACTACACAATTGCAGAAGCAAGGCCTTAAGATATCAGAGCTGCTTCAACACAAGAATGCCTTGTTATTTGTGTTCAAATAAAATGTGTTCTTGTTTACTAACTGTCACATCATACACCACAAAAAGGACATAATTTAGTGGCTCACAATGCAATCCTAGTCCTGTCTATTCAGAAGCAAGTCCAACTCAAATTCTTGTCTTATTTATTATTATTTATTAATTTTTTATACTGCCCTTCACCCAAAGGTCTACTGGGCAGTTCCCAACATAAAAATGCAAAATGAGAACACAAAATACACAATAAAATGAAAACAAACAAACAACCCTGCCTCTCACAAACACATTAAAAAGGCCATAGAATGCTGCTTGAATGGAGCATTTGCCCAGGTAAGGGGTTAGGACTGCAGCCTCAAATCTCACATGAGGTTCTTTAAGATTAGCAAGAGGTTTGTATATATAGGGATGGAGACAGCATCCTCATAGCTCCCTGTCCTCCATTAACACCTCGGATGTTGATTCAGAATTACTTGTAGCAGATGTCAGTTCATCACCTAAACAAGGTCAATTTAATGCTTTTACTTGGAGAAGGAAGGGGAAGGGGGTGCAGTCAGATGGGAAGGTACTTTCCCCCCTTCTTTGAGAATCTATGGAGAGGTTGAAAAGATTAGACAAAATTGACACACACAAAAGGCAGATGGATTTCTGGGAACTCCAGCTTATTCAAATCACTGAGAAAGGTCATGGTGCGAACCATAGACCTATTCTTTTGGAGGGGCACAATGATCCTTCCTCAACCTTCAACCCCACAAAGCGGGGGGGGGGGGGGGCTACTTCTCTATACCTTTTAGAAGGATTAATATCCCGCAACAATGAAGGAATCGAATCCAAGGCTTCAGACAAGTTTCAAAGATACCAGCATCAATGGGAGATACTTTCTTCTTGTTTCGTAATGAAAATAAAAGAGCTGTTTTTGTTGTTTACCAAGAGAAAGAGAGGAGGAGCTGCTTGCACCAACAAACCAGTAACCTTGCTTTTCATAGGTGTTATGCAATATGTATACTAAAATGTCAATACTTGTCCAAAGGGTTAAAAGAAAGTGGATCTCTCCGTCTCTCTGAGATGAAATTTACTGGCATTTTAATATTCTCCTAGGCAAAAGAGAGAGATAAAGGAGAAACAAGAAAGGGTAGATATATGCACAGCATAAACATATGGCTAATTACTTGTCAGAAATATTCTGAAAATATGAGTAAAGAGAGCTCCCTCATTTATCTATGTATGTGTATATATATACACACACACACACACACACACACATTTTCACATGTATATGTTTTGAGTGCTTCCATTAATATATACATGCCTTATTTGTAGTTTACTGTACCCACATTGCATGTGAGTAGGTATACACACAGTGCTCGCATCTATTAATCTATCAGTTAATCTATTAAAACAAAAAATTGAAGCGTATATCCCATTTTGCCAGCTTCCCTCAAGATTGTGCTAGGATGTGTGTGTTTTATATATAAAACAAAGCATAGCAGAATAGGTCGTCTTGTTTCAAAATCCTAGACTGCCTAAATCACCTGCTTTATGTCCTTCTAATATAAGGATCACAATACTATGCATGTAAACCCCGCAGGCATACCAGTGTAGGCTGAGCGTAGATATGGAATCATATACTGCATATACACCCCGTCTAGAGAGACGCATTTGTTCTCAACTCCCCATTTTGCTCCCAATACGTCAGCAGCTAAATTTTAGAAGGGATGGGAGGACTATAAAAGGAAGAAGTGTGGCCGAACTTTGCTTTCCATCTTGCGAACGAGTCACCAGCGCAGGAACAAGAGCAACTGGGAGGAACTTTGCTCAATCGGCTAAGCATGTTGTTGTTGTCCTCCTCCTATCTCTGGGATTTTCTAAGGAATGACCAGGACCAGAATGATGCGGGACTTGTTGGAAGCAAAAAATGATGCTTTGGGGGCTGGTGAGGTCATGATGATTCGGGAAAGTAGTGGAAAACTGACTGCTAAGGTCACTGCAACCTAGGAGCTACAGGTGAAATCTTAGGACTATCGACGCTGAATAGGAACACGGGTTAATAGCCACAGACGACGTGAGCCGGTCGGGGATCGCTCCGGGGACCTTTGGCGACGGCCCACGAGGCGAAGGAGGTAGAGGATCCGGAGATCCTGCAGGGCGAGCTCTGAGGGGTCCCCTCCGCGCATGTCAGCGGTGACCTTTGCACAGAAGCTGCTGCCGGGCAGCTTGGGAGGCAAAACAAAAGAACTTTCTTGTCTTTTGAGAGAGAGAGAGAGAGAGAGAGCGCTCTTGGTCGCCAGCCACACAATACGCAACAACCAGGGGGCAGATTCGAAGCCGCAAATCCTGGGCGGGAAAGAATGCGCCCATTCCTCAAGTGCGCGACTGGCGCGGGAGCGAGAGATCGGCTGGGTCAGATGCGCCTCTGGGCGCTTAACAACTGGATCAAGGGGGGCTGAAACCCCCCACACACACACCCCTTCCAACTTTTTCCGGAACTGGGGCGCGCGAGAAATGCTTCAGCAAAACCAGGATAAGGAAAGAACCAGGGCAGACGGGCGCTCTCACTACGCGCGGAAGCCGCCGGCGCGCGCTAGCAAACCACCGAGCACAGTTTTCACCTCCCGATTCCCCTGGCGCTTGTCGCCCAGCACTGATCCTTCGCAAACACGGCCGCGATTCTGCTGCGGGCGGCGACTTCAGCGCCAGCAGGAAGGAGGCAAGCTCCCGCGTCCCAACCCTTCCGTCCCCGGCGGGGCAAAGCGCCCCTTCCGCCCCTCGGAGCACGTGGCCAAGAACTCGCCCCAGGAGCGCGACTGGGGCCAGAGCTGCTCCAGCAAGGGCTCCTCGCGAAAATAAAGGCCGCCGCAGAACCTCTGAGCATGGGCAGAGGGCCTCCCCGTCACCTCTGGCCACCACAGACCACGACCACCGCTCTCTCTCTCAGCCATTCTCACCCAGGCCGGGATTCAGCGACGGGGCGACGCGGCCAGAGCGGCTCCCCGCCCCACAAATAAGCACGAGGGCGCCAAAAGCTCCACGTCGGGCGTCGCTGAAAGGGGAATTCCGCGCGCCATTTCCGCCCTCGGGGCGCCCCTTACCTGCCGCCATGCCTGCCGCCTCCCTCCGCAGGGCTCTCAATCCCCAGAGAGGCATCTCCAGCAAGAAGCCGCCGCCGCCGCCGCCGCCGCCGCCCAACTCGGTGCCCCGCTCGGAGCTCCAACTCCCTCCCGTCCCTCCGCCAGGCGATACAAAGGCGGGAGGCGGCGCTGCTGACAGGCTCCTCTTTCCCGGTCCCAAGGCAACGCGACGAAGCCGCTGGTTCCGGCGCTCGCCGCCGCCCGTTTCCCAGGGCCTCGGCGCAGCTGTCCATCATCCCGGGGCGCGAGGGGGAGCGCACCGAGGAGCGCGCGCGAGAAAAAACGCCCGTCCCATCCGCCCGGGCACCGCTCTGCCCCTCCTTTATATTCGCCCGCGCGCAGCCCCTGCTGTCGGCGGCAAAGCACATGGCCCATCCACCGGTTGCTATAGCGATGCCTCCCCTCCACAGGTTGCTGACAGCAATTGGCTGGCGAGGCTCGGGCTCTTCAGAACCCCCTCGCTGGCGCGGGAGGCTATGAATGGACATAGCCTTTGTCACTCATTTGTAAAAGCTGCTTGGGGTTGCTGCTGTCCCCCTTCTTCACGCTCACTTTCTCTCTCACACACACACACTCCCCCCCCCCAGTCATTTTTGTGCCACTCTGGCCAAATGGAAGCTGAAGGGAGAACAATGAGGGGAGCGTCGCCCCCTCCCTGCAGGCTCAAACATCAATGGAAGATAAAATAAAATCAAAACCCTCTACGATTTGCATCAAAATATAGGCACCCAACATGTCAGTGTCCACTGCTCTTCTAGCACGGACTTTTCCTGAAGTGGTGGGGGGATATGAAGCAGAAATTCAAACCAACTCTTCTCCACTTCATGCGCTGACGTGTTTTCACTTTAATCAATATAAGAAAACCTTTATATTCTGCATTAAATAAAATGCCTGTCAAAACTAAGGTTGCTAGTACTGTACTGGAATAAACTGGAATATCTATTAGACCTCCGGTTTGCTGAAATACCCAATATTATTCAGTTGTTTGAGGGGCGAACTCCACCTAGTTTCATTAGTGTCATGGGGACTGTTAAATGCTTGTAAAGTGCTAGACTAATTTAATTAGTGTTTGGAGAGCTATTAAATAACCAGCTAATATTACTATATAATTGATGTGGCAAAATTCCTAAGCCAAGAGTCATATTTGAAAGCCTTGAGGTGGACCTCAGTCACCAGTCACACAGCCCTTGTCTGTTAAACACAGGACAGTTGCTTCACACTGCATAAAAAATATCCATCCATCTAGGCCAGTACTGGCACCAGCCCCCCATAGTTTTGGGAACACGTTCCGCAACCAGAGATTTTTAAAGCTAGAAATTCAGGATTTAACTTTCAAGCTTCCACATGCGAAGCAAATGTTCTCACATGGAGCAGTGCTCATTCCCCCAAACCAACCAATTTATCCACAACCATCTCCTGCCGCCATTCCAGTACCAGTGGGAGAAGGGGAGGAGAAGAAGCAGCAGCTGTGCCCCCAGCAATTTTGTTAAGGCGGCCACAATTTGGCTACAACTGAAAGGAGTCTTGAGGTGGTATTTATGGATAGTTCCTCTTCACAATCCAAGCACCAGGCCATTCCCTTCTTCCACCACTCTCAAGTTCTGCTGCTTGCTGCACTGGATGAACAAGCTCCTGATGTGCTGTTGATGAACCTTGAGGATTTATTTTTAAAAATATATACACTAGCTTTGATTGCTCAAAGCGGTTTACAAATGGATAAGAGAATAAAGTCAAGGAAAAACCCAACAACCCTAGTTTAAAACACACAAAAGTTAAAATACCAAAACAGATCAACGCTACCTTAACTTTCCAAGCATCTGGGCCGGCCTGTCTAAACATGGACGTTTCCAGTAACGGGAAGGCACCTGCTTGATCTCAATTGGCAGGGAGTTCCAAAGTTCAGGCGCTGCTGCACTGAATGACTGAGTTGTTATAAATGTGGAACAGGTATTATGTGGCACCTGCAGCAGTGCCAATTCCTCCGGTGGCATGTGTAATTTTAATTCTATTTCAGTCCACTTCCTTGAGTCGCCGCATGTCACCCACAAGCCACAGCTGGGCTACTCCTTGTTTAACAGCTAGTATAGTTCAGTGCAATGATTACAGTTCTGGAGGCCACCTAAATTGAAGTTGAAGTTTAGGCATGGTGGGCGACATCGACTCAACTCTCTCAGCCTTTCTTCCTTAAGAGGAGGGCACTGGCAACAGGTTCCTACACTGCCCGGTCTTCCCATGCCTCTCCAAAATTCCTGGTTGTGTCCTCAAACTGAACCTAATTTTTAAAGTTGCCCCGCACTGCCTTTGCATATTTCTCACCAAGTGTTCCTGTACTGCTGAATTGGCCTTGCAACTGTGTCTAATGCCGCCTGCAGAGCTTTGTAGCGCTCGCCTAGCTAACAATGCAGCAGGGGCTTTGCTCAGCTCTTGTCCTGGAAAATGGGAGCCCCCCAAAAAACTCCATTTCTCCATAAGGGAATGCTCTGCAAAATTGTGGAAAGTCTGAATGTCCCTCGCTGTGCCTCTCCTTTCAAAGCATTTTGTGTCTGAAAGGCATTCTGCGTCTTGTTTCAGAGTTCAGCAGGATGAGAGATATGGGTCTTCGTCAAAGAGAACACTGTAAGACATGCAAAGCATCTCTGAAAGTAGAATCTCTAAGTTATCTCAAATGCCTAGTTATCTAATTGTGGTGTTGTATTCAGAAGGCCATAACACACATGGAAAGTAAACGGCTTCCACTCAGCTGGCTTTGGGTGCCCAAAATACCACTGGAGATGCAGTCTTTTGGCCTTTTCTCTCTCTATAGTTCCAGCTCAAGACCGACTGTAAAATCACAATCATATTTCCAGTTTCTGATGAATTCTATTCCCTACTGCTGGTGCTGACGTGAGATAGCTGGTTAACATTTAACTCCTGCTAAATGTTTACTCCGTTAACTAACCGCTTGCTCTCTCCTCTCTCTCTCTCTGATGAAGTCCCGATATTAGAGAGGCATTTACACTCCCATCCTTCCTCAAGTGTAGCATTTCTACAACTCCGCAATGGTGCAGGAGTAGAGGAGGGAGGGGATGGATCTGCAGGTTAAGCCAAACATCTGTTTGCACAGCGCCTTTGAAAATCCCACAGCTGCAGCAAACAGGAGAAGAAAGGAAGAAAAGAAATGAACCCGGGGAAAGGAGCTCTTGTCAGATGCAGATGACAAGTCTTTGGGAGGCCTCTTTAGTGTCTGGCCCTCTTGAAAGCACCATGCTCCCCTCCCGCCTCCCCCTGCTATTGTTTCCCCCCTTTGCCACGACAGCTGGGGATGGCAGGCCCAAGCACGGCAAAGCTAGCTTCTCCCTAACAAGCCCTCCTCTCCCCCTTTTGTAGGCCCCCAGCTGCAGGGGGGAGGCGTTAGGCCACCTCCCTGTGATTCTGCCTCACCCTCCGCTGAAACTGCCTGTTGAATGGTCTCCCCACAAAATGGGAATTTCCACCAGAGTATCCTTTAATCTATTCCCCCACGTCCCCTAGAATAACTCACCAGGCCCCTTCTATAAGGACAAATGGTTCCAAATGCAACAGGCCATTTGACAATCAGGCAATGTAACCGACCATGAGAAAGGATGATGGGAGAGGAGAGGAGTGGGACTTCTTTAAAACTAGATTGCTGTATCATCTTTCACTTTTTGCCTCCTCCTCCGACCTGCACACCATCCTATGAGATAGGCTTTTTAGAGTTCCCACTCTACAGACAAGCCACAGAAGATGTTAAGTGGTTATTCTTTCACCCAAGTAACTGAGCAACTCCCACAAGGAAGTGGGAACCTTAACCCAAATGCTAGTCTACATTATCCACAGCACTACAGTTGCTACCTTGACGTGACAATCCAAAATAATAAATGCTGAGCTTAGCTCAATAGAAGAGCATATGCTCCGCATGCAAATTACTCAAAGTGTAATACTCAGCACTAATACTCATACCCCTCCCTGTTACCCTGGAGAGATGCTGTCAATCAGGGAGGAGACAACACTCACTTACATGGTCAAATGCTTTGGCTCCCTGTAAGAGAGATTCCTGTGTTCATACCTGCAAATTGTGGAAAGATGCTCACAAGACTACCTTGTTTTTGTACTTCCCTCAACAATTTTTTAAAAAAATCACATAAACACACTGTTCTGGATTACTTATTCCTGATCAGCTACCACTCCACTGCCCAATCATCCCAGAGAATCACAGTATATGTGTAAATATGAACTTGAGAATGAGAAGACATCACTGCTATTTCTTAACATCCCTGAGTGTCAGTTGCTACTCCCACCAGCTAATGAGTATTAATGAATCCCAAATCCTTATTAAGTCATTTATTTACATTTGTTTAGATAATAAAACAAATCAAAACAAAGGCAATGTGGCAATTATGCCACATCTTTGACCCTCTTTTACACCAGTCCTTGGCTCTTAAAGCACAAGGCCATGGAATACTCACAGCCAACATGCAGTTCAAGCATAACTATACATGATATAAGATTTTAGTTGATTAATGTTCCTACTTTTGTATAACCAATTTGCTCATTAACCATCTTATAATAAATACAGAAAGTCTCCCAGAACAAGGGATCTTTGAAGGATATGTAACAAATAACACAGCTTCCTTTGGCTTAAAGATATGGATAAGCGATTTGTCCAGGCAAACCATTTCATGGCATTCACCATGTAGAAATAAGCAGACTTTGCCTACTACTCCATTGGCACCGAGTCAGTAGTCTTTCACAGGAGATAGCCTGGATTACAATCATATTTTTTAAAATCCATGTTAAATCTGCAATGAACGAATCAATCATTTAATTGCACCGGACTACTTAACTCATGCTTTCAATTTCACTGAAGAAGGAGAAGCAGGTTTGAATTAATAACATGGGCGTGTTCGTGTGTGTGTGCAACACACAACCCACCTGACCCAAGCTAGAAAACCACGTAGATGCATATGAACTAACTGGGTATTATCTTCCAGCACTGAGGCCCTTGGAAAGACGCAGTTACGATGTTTTCTAGCAACACTGCAACCACATGCATGCA